ACCCCTCAAAAAACACCCTCCAGCTCAGGAGACCCCTCCCCTCCCGAAAATAATCCCCGCCCTCAAGTGGATTTTTCTGCTTCTGCAGCCGCTTTTCATCCCAGGAAAAGAGACGGTGGAGGAAGTGTCCCAGGCGAGGAATGAAATGCACCTGCCATCCTGGGGGGGGGCAGGTGGGGGGCACTTGTTGCCCAGGGGGGTGGCCCCTCCCTCTGGGACGCAGGGACCCCTGCCATCCTTTCCCTGCGTTTCCTGCCAGAAAACCAGTTTCTACTGGGCTCCCAGAACCACATGGAGGCAGGAGACCCCATTTCCCACCCCAGAGCAGGGCTGGACCAATCAGAAGCCTCTCCATTGGACAGCTGGCCAATCCCCTTTCATTTTTTTTTATTTTTAATGCATAATTTTTTATTAGTTTATACCAAAACAAACAGAAATAAAAAAGTTCAACATCTTATTTTCACAGATTTTTAGCTTTTTGACTTCCTTCAGCCTCTCCACAAATCATCCATAATCTTCTTTTATGAAGTTACGCATTTCCTGTTTTATATTGACATTGTTTACCTCAAATCTTCCATTTCTCTTTAGACAATACTCTTATCTTTTCACAGAGCTCCTTTCAACCCCACTAGCGTTATCTGTCCTTCACTTATATTTTCCAGATAATCCGCGAATTTACCCCAGTCATCAATGAACCTTTGGTCTTTTAAATATCTAATTTTCCCCGTCATTTTATCCAACTCCGCGTAGTCTAACAATTTAAATCTCCATTCCTCAATTGTCGGTATTTCCTGTTGTTTCCAATTTTGAGCTAGCAGGACTCTTGCTGCAGTTGTTGCGTATTGGAACAATTTACAGTCTTTATTCTTTATCTCCCTTCCTACTAATCCTAATAGGAAAGCCTCAGGTTTTTTTTCAAAAGTGTATCTTAAGATTCTCTTCATTTCATTATATACGCTTTCCCAAAAACCTTTTACCTTTTGGCATTCCCACCACATATGGTAGAAGGACCCCTCTCTTTCCCTGCATTTCCAGCATTTGTTGCAGATTTTATACATTTTTGCCAATTTTGCAGGGGTCATATACCATCGGTAAAACATCTTCATTAGGTTCTCCTTCAATGTTATACAAGCTGTAAATTTAAGGTGTTTTTTCCAAAGTTTCTCCCACTCTTCATAGTATATATTATGACCGATGTCCCTAGCCCAGTGTATCATCACCGACTTTACTTCCTCGTCTATCAGGTTCCACTCTAGCAGCTGGTTATACATTTTAGATAGAATTTTCTGATCATTATTTATTATTTCAGTCTGAAATTTGGAGTCCTTATCAGCATACCCTCTATCTTTGGTGTCTTTCCTAAACATTTCATTTATTTGGAAATAGTGTAGCCAGTCATAGACTTTCCCTTTAACCTGATCATACGGTTTCATTTTCCACTTCCCCCCTTCTTTAAGTAACAATTGTTCGTAAGTAACCCAATCACCTTTCATATTAGTCTTTTTAACACTCATAGCTTCTAATGGGGATAGCCAATGGGGGACTTTAGGTTCTAATATGTATCTATTCCTTTCCCATACTTCAATCAGAGGACCTCTAAAGATGTGACTTTCGAAACCCTTATGTACTTTCTTCTTTTCATGCCACAAATACGCGTGCCACCCGAATCTGTTGTCGAATCCCTCCAGATCTAGCACTTCCTTATTTTCCAACTTTATCCACGTTTTCAACCAGCAAAGGCACGCTGCCTCATAGTATAATCTCAGATCTGGCAGGGCAAAACCTCCTCTTTCTTTTGCATCTGTCAAAAGTTTAAACTTAATTCTCGGCCTTTTGCCCTGCCAGACATATTTTGAGATCTCTCTTTGCCATTCTTTAAATATCTTCATGCCCTTAATTACCGGTATATTCTGGAATAAAAACAACATTTTTGGGAGCACATTCATCTTGATTGTGGCTATTCTGCCCCAAAATTACAGTTTTAACTTCCCCCACACCTCAAGATCCTTTTTTATTCCTTTCCATACCAACTCATAATTATTCTTGAATAAATCTATATTTTTTGGTGTTACCCATATTCCTAAATATTTCACCTTTTTAGTCACCTCTATCTCTGTTTGTTGTTGTAGTTCTTCGGTTGCACTTAAATCCATATTCTTCGCCATTATTTTGGTCTTTTTCTTATCCAATCCCCTTTCAGATTCCCCTGGGCCTCCTCCTCTCCTTCGCCCAGTTTCCTGAGGGAGCCCCCCCCCCGAGTTTCCCTCATGGCTGCTCCCCTCCCAAGTCCTCCTAGATTTCTCCTTCATCTTTTTTCTTGATCCTCCCCCCCCCCACTGTTTGGGGCAGCTGGATTACACCCCCCCCCATGGCCAGGCAGGCGCAGGAGGAGCGCAGGGAGGCGGCAGGGCCAGGAGAAGGCGTTTCCCGCTCTTTTCCGAAATAGGCGGGAACACCATTTTGTTTCTTCCAGAGGCCCCAGGCGCTCCCAGAGACACCATGGCTCCCCTGTGGGCCTCGGGGGTCCCACGCTCTCGGGGTCTCTCCTCCCGGATGAAGGAAGGTGGCACCTTTGGTCCTCAGCCGCCTTCCTGCCATGATGGCCTGGCCTCCGCAGGGCAGCCTCTCTCCTCGCCATGTTGCCCCACGGAGGAGGCCTCTCCGTTGGGAGATGCCAGGCAAGCGGCCTTGAGGGATCCGCCAGGGGGCCAGGAGGGAAAGGCCCTCTCTGTCTCGGAGGCCCAAGGAGGAGAATAATAACAGTAGTAGTAGTAATAATAATAAGGGCTTTATCCCCTCAAAGGTGGAGGGTTCCCTCAGGGGAGTTTGACCCCCGGAGCAGCATCCTTGGTCACCCCAAGAGTCAGCGCAAACAGAAGGGCTCCACCTGCAGACCATGGGGGAAAGGGTCTCAGGAGGCAGTGGGGGGACTCTAGGGAACTGGCTGAACTGGGGTCCTCCCAGTCCAGCCCATACAAGAAAGAGAGGGAGCTCTCAGAAGAGGAAGCCATTGCGGAGAACTGGACTTGGCTGTTCTCTGCTGAGGATCTCCTCCCTTTCTTCCAAGGCTTCCTGCGGGTGCCATGGCCAGAGGAAGAGACAGGGCCCCCACCCTGAATCCCCTGCAGGGCCCTGGGAAGCAAGCAGAGCCTGCCTCAGTTTCCTTCCCCAAGGCTTTGGGGGAACCTTGGGGTGCGGAAGGAGGAACCCCAAATGGAGCTCAGACTCCTGGCAAGTGGGGAAAGGAACATGAAATGGCGCTTTCCAGATGAGTCTCAATACAATATGATTTTTATTGTCATTGTCCCATACAGAACAACGAAATTGAAAAAATGCACATCAGACATTCAAAAACCAACAAGCCTGCTATCCCAACCTGGAAGGATGTTGAGCAGTTGGGGGAGTGGTGCAGGAAAAACAACTTACTGCTTAACTTAAAGAAAACAAAAGAGATTATTGTGGACTTTAGGAAATGTAAATTGAATATTCAGTCACTCCTTATTGAGGGGAAGTGTGTGAAACATAGCACATGGAATCGCCTCCAAGGTCCAGGGACTGATCCACCCTGGCTTCCACCTCGGAGGTCCCTTCAGAAGGAGAAGGGGTCCCAGGTCTCCATGGGGGAAAGCGTTCCTGAGGCCTGCGTTCGAGGCCAATGCTTTCGCCTTTCAGGCTCCAGCCCACCTTCTCTCTGGTGTTTTTGTGAGCTGTAGAGATGAGATCACATGCAGACATTCCCAAGTTTAATAAGGATCCCTTGAAAAAGCTGAGAAACCTTTAGTCGAAAGTTCTTCTTTTGCCAATGAACTTTGCCTCTGCGTGATTTAAGGAGAACTGATGCATCCACTCCAAAGAAGCTTCTGCAGCTCTGCTCTCCATGCAGACATGGAGCACCTTGGGATTGAAGACACAGAAAAAGAGACGGAGGGGAATGTGTGGGTCATAAGCTGGGAGTCGTTGGAAAGGAGTCGCTGGGAGAGGCAGAAGGTTGTGTTGAGCAGGCGAGGGAAGAGGAGGAGAGGACAGAAAGAGCCCCAGGGAAAGATGAATTTGGGCTGAGCTGGTGTGGGAATGAGCGGCAGAGAAAAATGTACAGCCAACAAAAGAGGATGCAAAGCAACTCCTGAAACGGTGAACAAGGCAAGCTATGATTTCGTTTGAGGAAAAGGAATTAAGACGCCTTCTTCCCCATCCCCAGTGGATTGAAATGTCCAAAGATTAGGAAAAGAAGAAAGAAGAGGAAGCAGGATTGGATGAACGTTATAAGAGACCATAATTTTCCATTGTAACTTGGCTGAGATTTGTTGGAACAGTTTTTAAAGGGCTTTATAGAAACTGGACCTAGAAACTGGAGAAATACTGATTTGGATTATTAGACGATCCTTATAAGAGTCATATTGCACTGTCTGAGTTGATTAAGATTTGAAAGCTGGGCTGGGAGGGAAATGAAGGGAAAGTGTCATCTTGGTGAAGAGGATAAGAAGAGTTTGGATTTGATATCCCGCTTTATCACTACCCAAAGGAGTCTCAAAGCGGCTAACATTCTCCTTTCCCTTCCTCCCCCACAACACTCTGTGAGGTGAGTGGGGCTGAGAGACTTCACAGAAGTGTGACTGGCCCAAGGTCACCCAGCAGCTGCATGTGGAGGAGCGGAGACGCGAACCCGGTTCTCCAGATTACGAATCTATCGCTCTTAAGCACTACACCACTGTATACGAGATACAGCTGGGTTTATTCTGGATTGCAAATTATGAATAATTGTTGCTACAGATGATTTTCAGACGGAGATGGGAGTTTGCTTTTCGGTGCCTTCCCTGTGGAACACCCTCCCAGTAGATGTCAAAGGAAAAAACAACTACCAGACTTTAAGAAGACATCTGAAGGCAGCCTTGTTTAGGGAAGCTTTTAATATTTGATTGATTACTGTATTTTAATATTTTGTTGGAAGCTGCCCAGAGTGACTGGGGAAACCCAGCCAGATGGGAAGGGTATCAATAAATGATCATCATCATCATCTATTTTTTAGTAATTTTTTATATTTTTAATATTTTATATTAAGATTCCTTTATTTTGAATTTAGGAGGACACACATACGAAGAGGACAGTTGGAGGTCCGAGGGACCTGCAAGGAAAGCAGGGAAGGAAGGATCTCTCTGGGTGGGATACGGGGAGAAGAGGGGGTCACACAGGGGAGAAGTGGGGGAGCCTGCCTTTCTATGTGTTGACGAATGATATGATATATATGACACAAATGTCATAAACAGTATTTTTAGTTTATATCCCCCCCCCCTTTCTCTTTTCTATACAATTGTATTTTGTAAGGGTTGTTTAATATTTTTTCTTTTATTTCTCTTTTTTGGTTTCCCCACTGTATGAATTCTTTGATAGCAACTGAGATGGGAGCTCCTTCTGAAGCTCTTTCCACATTTCAAGCACTGATAGGGTTTCTCCCCTGTATGAATTCTGCGATGGGAAGTGAAATTCACCATCTTACTGAAGCTCTTTCCACATTCCAAGCACTGATAGGGTTTCTCCCCTGTATGAATTCTGCGATGGGAAGTGAAATTCACCATCTTACTGAAGCTCTTTCCACATTCCAAGCAGTGATAGGGTTTCTCCCCTGTATGTATTCTTTGATGCGAAGTGAGACTATGCCTCTGACTGAAGCTCTTTCCACACTGCAAGCACTGATAGGGTTTCTCTCCTGTATGGATTCTTTGATGGGAAGTGAGATTCACCTTCTGCCTGAAGCTCTTTCCACATTCCAAGCAGTGATAGGGTTTCTCCCCTGTATGAATTCTGCGATGGGAAGTGAAATTAGCCATCTTACTGAAGCTCTTTCCACATTCCAAGCAGTGATAGGGTTTCTCCCCTGTATGAGTTTTTTGATGCAAAGTGAGCTGCTTCCGCTCCCGGAAGTTCTTTCCACATTCAAAGCACTGATAGGGTTTCTCTCCTGTATGTATTCTTTGATGCGAAGTGAGACTATGCCTCTGACTGAAGCTCTTTCCACACTGCAAGCACTGATAGGGTTTCTCTCCTGTATGGATTCTTTGATGGGAAGTGAGATTCACCTTCTGCCTGAAGCTCTTTCCACATTCCAAGCAGTGATAGGGTTTCTCCCCTGTATGAATTATTTGATGGAAAGTGAGATTCACCTTCTGACTGAAGCTCTTTCCACATTCCAAGCAGTGATATGGTTTCTGCCCTCTATGAACTATTTGATGGGAAATGAGAGTGTCCTTCCGCCTGAAGCTCTTCCCGCATTCGAAGCACTGATAGGGTTTCTCCCCTGTATGAGTTCTTTCATGCAAAGTGAGTTTGGCCCCCTCCCCAAAGCTCTTCCCGCATTCGAAGCACTGATAGGGTTTTTCTCCTGTATGAATTCTTTGATGGCAAGTGAGACTGTACCTGCGAATAAAGCTCTTCCCACATTCCAGGCAATGATAGGGTTTCTCCCCTGTATGAATTCTTTGATGGGAAGTGAGATGTGCACTTTGACTAAAGCTCTTTCCACATTCCAAGCACTGATAGGGTTTCTCCCCAGTATGCATTCTGTGATGCAAAGTGAGCTTGGCCCTTTGACTGAAGTTCATTCCACATTCCAAGCACTGATAGGGTTTCTCCCCTGTATGAATTCTGCGATGGGAAGTCAGATGGGAGCTATTAGTGAAACTCTTCCCACATTCCAAGCAGTAATAGGGTTTCTCCCCTGTATGAATTCTTTGATGGGAAGTGAGATTTGTGCTTTGATTAAAGCTCTTGCCACATTCCAAGCACTGATAGGGTTTCTCCCTACTCTGTGCTCTTTCATGTGAAGTAAGGCTATCCCTCTGAACGAAGCTCTTTCTTTGACGGGAGGTGGACTGGGAGCTCTGACGGATGTTCTCTCCACACTCTGAATATTTATATGACTTCTCCACTATGTGGATTCTGTTGTGCTCCCCCTTGTTCTTCCCTTCCAGTTCATCACCATCTGCAATGAAGAGAGAAGCGAATTAGAGCCTCAAAAAGAAATGGAGCTCCAGATCATTGAACAAAGTTAATGAATGCTTGTGATAGAGGAAGAACTAAAAATAGTTAGATGTGGGGCCTTTCTATAGTTTTCACTGCCTTTGTTGGCTGGTATTTACTGACATATTGCTTGGCTTTTATCTGGAATGGATCTTGCTCAATCCTGGAATCCACTCCATCTCCAAGGTCAGTCATCTCTTTGGTCAATCAAATGCAAACAGAAGCAAAAACAACAAGCCTGACAGACTTTACATCAACTTCCCTAAAAACTCTGAAGCCAGCATTTAAGAAGGCCTGGGTGGTTCAGAGAATCCTGGTCACTGTTTTAAAAGGCATGACTAGACGAAGAACATTCACAGAGGAAACAGTTGATATCCCTCCATTCTGGGTTCACGGTGGGGGATCTTAGAATCCCAGATGCTGTTGGTCTCCAGCCAAACAGTTGAAGTTCATCATATACAGGTATGTATGGAACGTCCACACCTTGTCTGTGAAACAAACAGCAACATCTTCACCTGAACACTCCCCGTCAGTTGTTGCCTCAATCTGGTTGGTCTAAATTTAAATTTATACGTAAATCGCTTTCTTCTCTTTGAACCGCTTTCTTCTCTTTCTTCCCATGTCCATGAGGAGACCAACTCTGTATTGTTTCATTAGCAACAGAAGAGGAAAAGTGACTATAACTCAGTTCAAACCAATTCATGAACCCAGAACTAATACACCGACCACTAATGATGAACCATATGTTAAAGATAATCCTGCAAAATTATTCTGCTATTTTTGATATGCAAATGGCATGCGAAGACTTAGTCTACATATTTGTATCATTTATTAGTCCTATGTTCCTTGTTTTTGAAAGCAAATAAAAAGTTATTCCAAAAGGAAAAAGACAACACACAGAGGCCCCATCTGCATTCAACTGCAAAGCGGGATCAGTGAGTTTTCTGACATTGGCAGGGCATTCAGATCACAGAACTGGTTTTAGACCTTTTGAGCTGCGGTGGCCGGGGAGCTGTGACCTATTCCTAGCTCAAATTGCCTGCAGATGACCAAGGAGCAGGCAGGCAGGTGGGGGAGCCCAAAAGGTGCTCCCCTTCTCCATCTCCATCTGCCTGCCTGCCTGCCTCCCCCCACCCCCTAGCTGAGCAAGCCCCTATACCTCTCTGGCTCCATCCATCCAGGTCCCCATCTCCACTCTCCTGGAACTCACCAGATCTCTCGGAGGTCCCTGGGAGGGAACGCTCAGTGGTTGAGAGGAGGGATGCAGGAGACAACCTGACCAGGTCAACCATCCATCTTCCCCCTTCCATCCTCACTAGCTTTGAAGGATCTGTGTCTTTCATCCTTCCTGAGGAGTCAAGGAGCCAAAAGAAGCTGCAGGGTCCTGGGAGAGAGGAAGAAGCAAAGGCAGCCTCAGAGGCCCTGCAGGGATTTTCTGGATGGAGGGGAAGCCTCCCAATATGTTGGGGGCCCCACCCACAGCAAAATCCCTGCTTTATCTCATTTCTGGCCAGAGAACATTCCCTCTTCACCCTCCATCCATCCATGTCCCCATCTCCACTCTCCTGGAACTCACCAGATTTCTCGGAGGTCCCTGGGAGGGAACGCTCAGAAGTTGTGGGGAGCGATGCAGGAGACAACCTGACCAGGTCAACCGTCCATAGCTTCCTGTGACGTTAACATATAATAATAATAGTAATAAATTTTTATTTATACCCCCCTCTCCAGCCAAGACCGGGCTCAGGGAGGATAACAACCAATAATAAAAAGTTGATTAAAATACAATTTAAAAGATTCAGATACAACATTAAAACATTAGGATGAAGTCACTTCATAGGAGGAGAAAGGAAAGAGAAAGAGGGGGAGGGAATCAAACTGATTCTAAGCCAAAGGCCAGGCGGATCAACTCTGTCTTACAGGCCCTGCGGAAAGGAATCAGATCCCGCAGGGCCCTGGTCTCATGAGACAGAGCGTGCCACCAGGTCGGAGCCAGTGTTGAAAAGGCCCTGGCTCTGGTTGAAGCTAATCTAACTTCCTTAGGGCCCGGGACCACTAGGGTGTTGCTATTTATGGACCTTGAGGCTCTCCGTGGGGCATACCGGGAGAGGCGGTCCCGTAGGTACGAGGGTCCTAGGCCGTGAAGGGCTTTAAAGGTCAAAGCAGCACCTTAAATCTGACCCTGTACTCCACCGGGAGTCAGTGCAGCTTGAAAAGCACTGGGTGAATATGCTCCCACGGCAGAGACCCCGTGAGGAGCCTCACTGCAGCATTCCGCACCCACTGGAGTTTCTGGGACAGCTTCAAAGGCAGACCCGCGTAGAGCGAATTACAATAGTCAAGCCTGGAGGTGACCATCGCATGGATCACTGTGGCCAGGTCGGGGCAGGAAAGGTAAGGGACCAACTGCTTGATGCGGCGAAGGTGGAAAAATGTCGCCTTGGCTGTTGCTGTAACTTGCGCCTCCATGGAAAGGGAGGCGTCAAGGATTACACCCTAGTAGATTCAGAGCTGATGAAGCGGCTGGGCCAAAGCTGAAAGGTAAGCTGGATGTGGTCAAAAATGAGATGGCAAGAATAAATATTGACATCCTGGGCATCAGTGAACTAAATTGGACAAGGATGGGCAAAATCAGTTCAGATGACCATCATAACTACTACTGCGGGCAAGAATCCCGTAAAAGAAATGGAGTGGCCCTCATAGTCAAGAAAAGAGTGGCAAAAGCTGTACTGGGATGCAATCTCAAAAATGATAGAATGATCTTGATATGAATCCAAGGCAGACCTACAAGAAGTTGAATACAGATTTCCAAAGAATAGCAAGGAGAGACAAGAAGGCCTTCTTAAACGAGCAATGAAAAGAAATAGAGGAAAACAATAGAATGGGAAAAACCAGAGATCTGTTCAATAAAATTGGAGATATGAAAGATCGTACAAAGATTACCATAATAACGGACAAAAGTGGAAAGGACCTAACAGAAGCAGAAGACATCAAGAAGAGGTGGCAAGAATACACAGAGGAATTATACCAGAAAGATACGGATGTCTCATACACCCCAGGTAGTGTGGTTGCTGACCTTGAGCCAGACATCCTGGAGAATTAAGTCAAATGGGCCTTAGAAAGCACTGCAAATAACAAGGCCAGTGGAAGTGATGGTATTCCAGCTGAACTATTTAAACTTTTAAAAGATGATGCTGTTAAGGTGCTACACTCAATATGCCAGCAAGTTTGGAAAACTTAGCAGTGGCCAGAGGATTGGAGAAAATCAGTCTACATCCCAATCCCAAAGAAGTGCAGTGCCAAAGAATGCTCCAACTACCGCACAATTGCGCTCATTTCACACGCTAGCAAGGTTATGCTTAAAATTCTACAAGGCAGGCTTGAGCAGTATGTGGACTGAAAACTCCCAGAAGTGCAAGTCGGATTTTGAAGGGGCAGAGGAACCAGAGACCAAATTGCAAACATGCACTGGATTATGGAGAAAGCTAGAGAGTTCCAGAAAAACATCTACTTCTGCTTCATTGACTTCGCAAAAGCATTTGATTATGTCGACCACAACAAACTATGGCAAGTTCTTAAAGAAATGGGAGTGCCTGATCACCTCATCTGTCTCCTGAGAAATCTCTACGTGGGACAAGAAGCTACAGTTAGAACTGGATATGGGACAACTGATTGGTTCAAAATTGGGAAAGGAGTACGGCAAGGCTGTATATTGTCTCCCTGCTTATTTAACTTATATGCAGAATTCATCATGCGAAAGGCTGGGCTGGATGAATCCCAAGCCGGAATTAAGATTGCCGTAAGAAATATCACAACCTTGATGGCAGAAAGTGAGGAGGAATTAAAGAACCTTTTAATGAGGGTGAAAGATGGTGAAAATATGGTCTGAAGCTCAACATCAAAAAACGAAGATCATGGCCACTGGGCCCATCACCTCCTGGCAAATAGAAGGGGAAGAAATGGAGGCAGTGAGACAATTTACTTTCTTGGGCTCCCTGATCACTGCAGATGGTGACAGCAGTCACGAAATTTAAAGACGCCTGCTTCTTGGGAGAAAAGCAATGACAAACCTAGACAGCATCTTAAAAAGCAGACATCACCTTGCCAACAAAGGTCCGTATAGTTAAAGCTATGGTTTTCCCAGTAGTGATGTATGGAAGTGAGAGCTGGACCATAAAGAAGGCTGATCGCCGAAGAATTGATGCTTTTGAATTCTGGTGCTGGAGGAGACTCTTGAGAGTGCCATGGACTGCAAGAAGATCAAACCTCTCCATTCTTAAGGAAATCAGCCCTGAGTGCTCACTGGAAGGACAGCTCCTGAAGCTGAGGCTCCAATACTTTGGCCACCTCAGGAGAAGAGAAGATTCCCTGTAGAAGACTCTGATGTTGGGAAAGATGGAGGGCACAAGGAGAAGGGGCGACAGAGGACGAGATGGTGGGACAGTGTTCTCGAAGCTACCAGCATGAATCTGACCAAACTGAGGGGGGAAATAAACACCACCTAACAGGGTGGGTCCAGTATCACCAAATAAATGAGGTCTTCAAAGCTGACAAGAAAAAGGGTTCTGCAATTTCAGTATTGGATAAAGAATTATTACAAAGCAAAACAAAACAAAAGTAGTTTCTAAAATGTATGGAACCTTATTGGAGTGGGAGGATGTGAATGAACAGGTAAAGGCAGTAATGATCAAATGGGATATGGATTTAGGTAAACCTATTCAATTAACATCATGGGGGAAATTATGGAAGGAGAGTTGGAATTTTACGGCTTGTGAGGCAATAAAAGAAAATTTGATAAAGATGTTTTACAGATGGTATTTAACACCAACCAAGATATGTAAAATGTATAAAAGAAAATCAAAATTATGTTGGAGGTGTAACCAAGTAGAGGGGACACTTCTGCATATGTGGTGTCTATGTGATAAAATCAAGGGCTTCTGGGATACGGTGTATGAAGAACTAAAGAAAACATTTGAACAAAATTTTGCCCCCAAAACAGAAGCTTTTTATTGGGAATATTGGATGCAGATATACCAAAAGAACATAAGGAAGTATTTCTTTACGCCACAGTGGCAGTGAGAACATTAATTGCCAATTAATTGCCAAAAATTGGGGAAAAAGAAATAATTCCAACAAAAAAAAAGCTCTTTTTGGAGGAGGGTCCCTGCACTCAGGGAGAGACCATAAATTTTGTAACT